ATATATTATTATATATATATATATATATATATATATATATAAAATTTACAAAAATATATATTTAATGGATAAGAACATATTTATTTTTTTGTTTATAAAAAAGTAAACGAGAAGTCTCCGAAAAATTTGAGAATACAATTTATAAAAGAAATTGGAAATTACTTGACTATACATGCAATGTTTCTTTAGGCAATATATGAAATCAATAACAGGAATTTACTTTCCTTTCTCTTTATATATTATCTAATGAGGGATAAAACTGAATTAAATAAATAAAAATTTATATAATTATACTATTAGTAAATTGATTTGATTGAAAACATTACTATACCAGATATTATTTATATCTGTGCAGATTTATATGTCTCTTGAACAATAGACTTTAAAAGAAACCAGGAACAGAGCGAGTGTGCTGGACATGTGTGCCGTAATAAAATAAACATCTAACGGGTGTGAAAGTATCATATATCAACTCGCAAAGGCGCCTACAGTTCAGAATTTTCAATGACAGAATTTTGTATGACAGAGACTTTTCACGATGTGTAACATGTACAAAAAACGATATCAGGAGACAGGACGTTAACCTGTGATAGAAGAAGATCTGTGATTACGCCGGATCTATAGAAAGAATATTTTTCTTTTTTGCTGCTGTTTTAATGAACAATTATCAATTATTAAGGAAATATCAATTTTAATAATATCAATTCTATATAAAGAAAAAAAAAATATGACGTATATAACTTACATCTATAATCAACAATTGCCTACGACTTTCCCAAGCATTTGGGAAGAATCATTTTTAACGGTATTCGGAGCATAAGAGACAAAAAAGCCACACCTGCGCATCGAAATTTGATGACCAAAAATTTCACCAATATTAAAATCGTATTTTTCATGTACTCTATGTGTAAATAAAAAAAAAATAAAAAAAAACCTATATCTATATTAGAATTTCGAGGTCTGAAACTATCCTCATCGTTGCTTTCTAAAGAGATTCCGATTTCCTCTGGAAATCGGCGCATCTTGCCTCTCTTAAACCTAACTCCATCGTTTTTTCCCTCTCCGTTTCGTTGCCACCGGTGATGATTCTACGTACGGCACTGATGGGCACGAGAGTCGCAGAGACTCGGAGCGGAGTTGCGACTCGGCAAGAGCCGAGAGACTCACTTGTGAGAGACGTCGGCGCGTCACGAGGCGCGTCTGCGAGGCCGCGTTTTTCATTTTCCGTCGTCGGCCGTGTTTCCCGGGGGTGGGTGCTTCCGTACCTGTCGAAGAATTCACCGATACTGTTATCGCACGTGGATAACAGACTTAGGAGCTCGGCAACATTTGGTGGCTATGAGGAGGGGAGGTTGACGGAGTCGGAGGTTGAGGGAATTCCAATCTCGGTACTCAACGAGATCTCGGCGTTCGTACCGACTTCGAAAGGAGAGCGGCGACCGTCGGAGGAAAGAAAAAAATACCCCCGTCGACTTGCACGCAGCCAGGAACTATTATCTTCACATATGAATTAATGTAAGTGTGAATTTCTATTAGACGAGAACAATATTAGTGATATTAATCGCGATGGAAATTGTTTTTCTTTGCGGTGCGTTATTTTTTTAGGTGCGCGAAAATATGTCTCACGTTGTTGTTTGTTGTGAATTGCCTGACCGAAACATACACTTGCTGCTCCGAAATTTCATAATTTATTTCTAACTTAAGAATTGACAGAAAGAGTGTTACTTTAAATAACAATATTAAGGCATTTTTATGTACGCGCGTACCTTTTATATTTTTGCTACGAATATTAAATAATAATTTTAAAAAGACTAAAAAAGATTACCGCTCCGATTGTTATGCATAATATGACGTAATTTATCCGCGATTGACATTGAATGATTTTACATTATTTGGGAAATATTTTATTTTCGCAGAAGTTCTCAAACCATTTGTCACCTGATTTAGCACCGTTACAAACAATTCACAGAGACAGAAGTAGAAAAAAGAAACGATAAAATGCTTTATACTCATTATTGGCATGTGGCCCTCGCAGCTGTAATTGTTATACTTACTATTTTAGCAGGTATGTTATATACATTTATATATATTAATTCATATTAATTTTTTGCAAAGTGATTAAAAATTTAAAATAGAAAATACTTAGCGGAATATCCAATCTCAAGATATAGCTTCAGATTTATTAAATTCTAATAAATAATAAATAAAATAAATAGATAAATTCTTATAATTTATAAATTCAAATTCTTCAGTTTTACTTAACCCATTAGAATATAATTTTTTGCTTTAGAAAGAAAAAAAATTTTTAAATTAAATAATATATAATTAGCAAACTGTTAACTTATGAATTAATAATTAATTTTCAATGTTTATAAATATTACATTATAAAAATCAGATTTTAGAATATATAAAGCTTTTGAATTTTTTTATTATAAAATTAGACATCTTGATTACCAAGAGATGATCTAATAATAAGTACTATATTGAGTTATAATAAAAATAATAAGATGTAAAAATACATATATATATATGAATAGATATGATGAATAATTTCAAAGTTACACGGCATTATCGAGGATTAAATGCTTGCGCACTTTCAGCGTATTTTAATCTTATTTTCGCGTTACGTGTATTAGACGTGCAAAAGAACAACGTAACAAAATTCTTTTGCTCGGAAACATCGTCTCATTCATGCAACACGCAGACTTTATCCATTACGATTAGATAGCGATATGACCTCGCGACCTGCCTTCCTTTTGAAATCGGAGAACTCGTTTCGGCTTCTAAAACCTAACCGCCCTACGAAGAGAGATTTTTTCGCGTGTATTTATCAATTTCGAAAAATTATTTATCTACCATATCGTTTGAAACGGACGCCGTTGAATTGTTTATGCACCTGGCGGTATTGCTTCAGCGAAGGAAACACCGACGTTTCAGATCTATAATACAGACCGTGTCTTTCACTCCACAAATACTTTTATATACAAAGTTTATTTGCAATCAATCGATCTCAATGAAATTTCTAACTGTAAACTGTTTGATTTGTAAAGAACTTGTAAAGAAAAATTAGACGAAGATGTCTATTACAGAAAATCGAGATTTTGCAGTAGGGATTGCCTTAAGCCGCTTTAAGGTATTTTTATTAAGGAAATGCCGAGTTGATTGAAAGAGATCTATTTGAGGTTTGATCCAGTATTTCATTAAAACTTAATATTTTCCAGAGCTGTCTTCTCTCGTAAACATCCGGCTGTCTCTTGCGATAGCCTTTCCTGGCAATAAAATGTCTCTTGATAACTGGCGCGTTCTAATGTTCGCATTTGAAATAATTTTGGAAAAATTATCCTGTATTAATATTAATCTTCGTTATCGGCGCGCGTTTTAAAAGAAATCGGCGGCCAGTTAATCGTTGCAATTTACGTAATTCATTTTTGCATTTGGATGCGGAGAAATTATTTTGTGCCATTCTCTTCTTTAAAAAGAGACATAGTTATTTATTTTCAATTTAAAATTCGTCATCGCATTTTATGTAAATATTTTTTTCTCTTTGTAGGATCTGTAAATTCTCAATATGGACCAAGAGACAAGGTACCATCCAGAGGTAAGAATATCCTAAATAGCCTTAAAATTTATTTTTTATTCACACTTTTCACCTTAGAAGAAATTCATCGCGGAATCATTGTAAAATTGTAGTATCATTAAGCGTCTTATCAGAGAGTATCGTCAAGTGATAAAACAACGATAAAACTTTCGCGACAACTAGGACGTGCACTATATAACTATATAATTATACACAAAGACAAAAATGGGGGTGTTATAGGATCTGTGCAGAGAGGAGATATGTCACCCATGGAGATGGCATGGTTTAATCGGCTTGAGTCGACTCCCACTCCCAAGTCAACAGATAGACAAAACTTCGGGACGTGGGAAAATACTTTATATGTCGACCTCGAAACGTTCCTCTCAGATGTTCCTACAGAAGAAATAAATGAATGATAAATATTCCAAATTTATTTGATGACAACGAATTATTATTTTAACACAAATAAATATATTCTTGGCTAACGGCAGGAGGATTCGTTTGTTGTAGCTAATTTCTCTTTTTTTTTATTGGTTCTCTCTATGTGTAAATATATTTGATATACCCCAGATGTATATGACATACCTACATTCCTCCTAATATAATAAAAGTTTTATGTGCTAATCGATGGAAACTAATCAGTATTCAGGAGACTACCTTCCTGCATGTATTTAACATGTATGATGAAAACATTTTGTGCTGAAATTCTCTTTTAATTAACTTTATTTTCATTATTTCAAAATTTTTTGTTGTACTTTTCAGCAGTATACTAATTTTCAACAGTATATTAACTTTTATTATATATTTCACAGTATTACATTAAATTTTACAAAGAAAATTAAATTTATTTTGAAATATATTCAGTAACTTTTTAATAACTTTCGTTTCATTGATTTTATATATATATATATTATTTTATTTTATATATTATCATCTTGTCTTTATGAAATTCAATGTAATATGAAATATAAAGAAAGTTAAAGAATACTGTTGAAGTTTTTATGAATACATTATACATCATGAAATTTATTGAAAGGCTCCTGAGTACTCAGCTAAGAACTCCGCGTTGACGGCAGCAACACAGTGTAAAAATTAAAAATTCATTCTTGTTCATCTCATCCTTGTCCTTGTTCATCTTCATATAAGTGACATGCGAATAACGAAATTTTTTATTGCACCTAATTTCGTTCTTAGTCGTGCAGATGTGTTTCGTACTTATCAAATTCGTAAAAATGGATGGAAGTTAAAGTTACCTTTGAATTTTACATGTAAAAGTATATTCACTTCTTTCAACAGCTGTCAAATCGTATATTTTCTGCCTGAATAGGTTTCATTTCACGTATCTTTTATAACTAATTTATTGACTATCAGGAAGAGAAAGGATAGCAGCCGTCCATTTTCACAAGTGTCTTAAAGCCATCTCAAGTGTTGTTTTAGTATCTCTTTATTTGCAAATTAAGCGTAATAAATTTTACCGTGTCGTTTCTCGCCTATGACGTCACAATTCCAATATGGCCGCGATGACTACTCAAGGCCCTTAATATTGAAATAGGGTCCACTGACGAAGAATTTCAACAAAATATTTGCATCAGAATTGGCATGATATCAGTATACGCAGTAACTCCTAATTACAGGAGAAGAAAATAACCATGCAAATATATGTCGAATTGCAAGATAACGAGAATCTTTTCTTTTTCCATACAGGATTGCATGCGAAGAGACCGCACCCCTGCGAGCAGAGCTCGTGTTATCCCGCAACCGGAAACCTACTGATCGGCCGTAAGGACAAATTGAACGCTTCGTCGACGTGCGGTCTCAGAGGCCCCGAGAGGTTTTGCATTGTTTCTCACCTTAAGGAAAGAAAAAAGTGCTTCTTCTGCGATGCATCGATACCTAAACAGCAGCATAACATTGAGAACATCGTCAGCGGGTAAGACTGGACTTTAGTCTCTCGCCGCGATCTTCCCAATCGCGAAATAAATTATCAATATCGTTAAAATAATGATAAGTAAAAATGTGTGTTGTTACAAATAGATTAAAGTAATATATATATATATATATATATATATATATATATATATATATATATAAAATTTTAACTTGTAGAAAATTCGGAAATTAATATATATATATATATAAAATTTTACTGTAGAAAATTCGGAAAATTACCCTATAATCCTATCAACTATTTAACTCTTACTTCTTACACTACTTTATTCTTACACTACTTTATTATTTATTATTTACATTTACTCGATTATTTATTACACGGGTTTTTTAAATTTATATTTTAAATTATATTATTACAATGCATGAGTATTTTACTTTTAAATCTTTTTACGTGAATAACTTGTGTCGACTGATTGTGTCGATTCAAGATTGTTAATTATTAATCACGTTATTCAAAAATATTATTCCTTTTTATACTGCTATATTTTAGGGTGTTGCCACGAAATTTGGAAATCGACAATCCTTATTCGAAAGAAGTGCAGAATCTATTAAAGATTACCAATCTTAGAATTATCATGATGAGACTCCACACTCTGGGCGATGATCTGCTCGACGATCGGCCTGAGATTCGCGAGAAATATTATTACGCCATCCAAGATATGGTGATTCGTGGCTCGTGTTCCTGTTACGGACACGCCTCTAGATGTTTACCATTACCAGGAGTCGCCGACGAAGAGAATATGGTCCATGGCAGATGCGAGTGTACGCACAACACCAAAGGCCTCAACTGCGAAAAATGCGAGGACTTCTACAACGATCTACCATGGAAGCCCGCAGTTGGCAAACAAACGAATGCCTGTAGACCCTGCAATTGCAACAATCATACCAATTCCTGCCACTTTGATGAAACGGTTTACGAAAGATCGGGCAGAGTGTCCGGTGGTGTCTGCGACGACTGCCAGCACAATACGCGAGGGCAAAATTGTGAACAGTGCAAGCCATTCTATTATCACGACGTAACGAAAGACATCTCTGATAAGGATGCTTGTCAACGTAAATATCCAATTTCTAGTCGCTTTATGCAAGATATAATCTTCATATATCATGTAACGTAATGTAATATGAGATAATATTATCTGCGTTATTTTATAAATAAAAGATGATTTTTATACATGTGTATGTAAGAGATAAGTGCAAAAGTGCAAAGATATGCAAGTTTTCTTCCTTGCAGCCTGCGATTGTGACTTGGGCGGATCCTTGGATGATGGTATATGCGACTCGAGAACTGATTTCTAAGCGGTGACGAGTCCGGACGCTGTCACTGCAAAGCGAATGTTGAAGGACGCCGCTGTGATCGCTGCAAAAATGGCTTCTGGTAATTTTTAATCCTAACAGTCTCGAAGGATGTCAAGGTAAAAAAAATT